TAAACGAGTGAAACCCTTTTTATATCTCTCATACTATTATATATATATATACACGTTTCTAATATATATTAAAATTCCAAATATTACAAAGTAAAGACATAAATCATCTAAATCTTGAAGTATTGACAAAAGAATAAAACTTTAGAAAAATACCAATCAGTTAAGGAAATTCATTGCGCATGCGGTTAATAACAATTCATTAAATATTCTAAGAATTACTCCACACACGACTTACGTATTTAACGTGTTTTCATGAATTTTTGTTTTTTATAAATTTTTCACGAAAAAAGTAGCTAAAAATTTTTAAAATAATTTAAATTGAATATATCATCAATTATTCTTAAATAATGGTATTTAAAAAAATCGTCATTTATATTTGAAAATTCGGATGTGCTTCTGACTTTTGCTCTCCTCCTATCGATAAATATTCCTAGATCAAATGAACACACCCGAAAAAATATCTTTTTAGCAGCAGTGTCACATATCCAAGATTTTGGAGATGCCACCACGTCTTCCGCGGGAGATGCCGCATCTCGCGCGAGAGATGCGGGTGTGGGTGTGGGGGATGCGCTTCTCTAAAGGAGATCTTACATCTCCAGTGGTGAATGACCACATCTCTCCAGTGTGGGTGTCGCGTCTCCCGCTGGAGACGCGGCATCTCCCACGGGAGATGTGGTGGCATCTCCAAAATCTTGGATATGTGACACTACTCGAATGAGTAGAAAATTTTGAGAAAAAATTCTTGATTATCTTCAAAATATTTCTGACGATTGAAAAATTTATGAATTATAAGCAACATATTGTGCAATTTTCCAATCATTATCATCTACTTCAAAAAAAAATATCTGAGAAGTGAAAAAAAAAAACTATTGATGATGATTTCTATATTTTACTTTCTCTTTCCATATCAGATTAGAAACCTTGTGTTTAGTTTTTCTTCAAAATGACTTAAGTCATTTTTTTTTTTCAAGATCCAATAAATTCCATTGAACGATGAATGAATAAGCTTATTTATAATACTGTAAATCTTTTGGTAAAAAATGAAAATTTAAGAGAAACGAATATATGAAATTAATCTATAGAATAACTAAAACAGTACATTTTGTTGAATAGTTTCTCTTTTTTTTTTTATAATGTCATTTATTAATAAATGTATCAACATTTACTTTCGATTTAAAAACATGAAAGTAAAAATGTATAAAGACAAATTATTGTTAAAAAACTATTAATTATTTCATTAGTCTCAAGAATATTTTTTTACGGTAAGATAAATAGAGAGCACGAAATTGATATAAATGAATAAATATAAGTAGTTTAATATATTTAAATGATATGATTATTATTGTGTTAATCTAACAAATATTAAATAAAGACAAGAGATCATGTCATAAAGAAAAATTTTAGTCGAATATTTAAATAAAATGAATTGATTACATATCGAACAGATCAAGTAGTTATAAAAAAAAAAAACCGAGAAAATAAAACATAACACCGGTTAGATAAATGAAATAAATATTCCCATTAAATATAAATGAATTGTATTCAAAAACAAAAGTAAGAATTAAATATCATCCCATGAATTAATTTGTCTTGGTTGTTGAAGTGTTTCAGTTGATTTTGATTTAAAAATAAAATGTTGATTAAGATTTGTTGAAGATGAATTTGAATTAATATTATATTGAGATAATGATGAATCAAGATCACGATTAATATTTGTTTTTATTGGATTAATATCAACAGCTTTATGATCAACATATAATAATGAATGAAGACTTTTTAAACGATTTGATCTTTGAGAAAATTGTTTATGTATTGAACGTTTTCCTTCATTAGTATTTATATTCATTTTATTATTATTATACAAATTTTGAACAGATGATGTTGATCGAGAACTTTTTAATCTAATTAAATTATTTTTTTGTATTTTTATTTATTCTTGAATTTTTGATACATACCTTAAAGAACACATTAACCAAACAAGAACATTAATTACTATCAGAAAAACAATAATTGATACAATAAATATAATTATTAAATTAAGATTTGAACGAGATATTGGATTAGAATTTGGTAATATATCTATTTAATATAAATATAAAATTATTTTTATTTAGAATTTATTTATTTTTCTTTTTTTTACAATGTTTATATGTTGATTGATTTATTATTTGTAATCCATCTTGTTTATACATAGGTATTATATCCTAAAAAAACAAAGAAAAAGAAAAAAAAATCTATTTAAAATTTTGTATATACAGTATAAGGTTCAATTATTGATTGAACAGGTCGATTTCGTTTGATATAATCATTTGTATGAATAACTGATAAATCTTTTTCATATTCATATTCATAAGAATTTTTATTATTTAAAGAATATTTTAATGTTGAATAACTATTTGATATTGTTGATCGAATTATTAATGATGATGATAAATAACATTGTAATCTAACAGTTGCATTATTTGTTTCAGGTAAAATTGAATATTTCATTAAAAATCCACCATATTTATTATTTTTTAATGTATAAAATCTAAATGTTATATTTTGTTGAATATTACTAATAAATGTAATTGGATCTTGTTGAAGACATTTTGTATGTAAATCTTGTCCTATCCATAAAACAAGTGCAGCTTCAGTACAAATAGGTAAATTAAAATAAATTATTTCAAGTACAATTGAATTATTTCCTGATGGAATTAATGTACATAAACAATTTAGATTTGATTGAAATCCATGAGGATAATTAGGTGTTGATACAAAACCATGTGATAATATTATATCTTGATTTTGACATATATTTTTTAATGAATAATCTAAATAGATTTTTCAAAAAACAATAAAAAAAAAGAAATATTTTAATAAAAATAAAAAAAAAACCTTGAACACATTCATATTCAGCTTGAACATAAGATGCAGCTAAATTCCAACAATCTTGTAATATTAATGGATGTTCAACAACACGAACTGTACAATTTGAATTAGTTAAACAAATAATATCTTCACGTGGTACATCCATTGTACAATCTTTATCTATATATGAACAATCATTTGACCATGAATAACCATATATTATACGACCTAATTTTATTAATTCATTATCACGACATATTAAATTAAGTTTACCAGTTGATATATCATCTAAACAATAACTTTGACTTGAATAACCTAATTAAATATAATAATAATAATAATAATAATTAGTTATTTATATTCAAAAATAAAACAAACCAATATGAGCAAAAATAAATAAAGGTAAATTAAAAATAATAATAATAATAAGAAACATATCTAACAAGTTGAACAATATGTTTTAAAATGTTCAAATGAATTATTCTATTGATCATATGTTTAAATATAGTCGAGACAATGAATAAATACTTATCGGATCAAATTTTGTTTGTTTAGTTGTTTTGTTGACTTTATTTCAGTAATCAATATAACATAATTATTGCACGTCAATACTAATCATATTCATATTTACATATATATATATATACTTCATCGAAAAAAATAAATTAACAACACTTGCTTCTTTTTTTTTTCTTTGTCATACTGGATCAACTTTTATTTTTTGATCATGTCAATGTAATATAGTAAGAAAAAATCATCTCACTCTAATATATAATAGAATAATTGGTTTAGTAAACAGTTAAAATATCTACAATCTATATAGAACTAAATATAATCCATCAAAGTTTATCTTCTCATGTTTTTTTTCCCCCCCTTATTGATAAGTCTGAATAGAATAGTTAAAGTAATTTGATAATCGAAAAAAAAAAAAAAAAAGTTTTTCAATTATTCAAAGTTATTTATTTATCGATATGATTGGCATCATTCGGTATATTTAGCAAGCATTCATCCATGATTAATCTTTCTATCTACATAGAATCTCAATGATTATTGACTGGTGCGGAAGCACAGCTTGACATACATATGCTATGGAATACAAACAAGAAAACAAATATTTTACATTCGATATTTTATCTTTCGATGAAGCAAGAATGAATAAATACGATTTACTTCTATAATTACAAAACGATCTATTCATTGAAGAATAATAATATATGAAGAAAAACAAATATTTATATAGAAAACAATGTTAGATATATATATATATATATATCTAACCCATATATTGTACAAATAACAATGTCTATCCATCTGTCAATGACTATTAACGACTGTTGGGAATTTCATTTTGATAATTACACATTTAGATTTTCTTTTTTTTTTGTTATTATTCATTAATTTGTATTTTTTATTTAGATTTCTATTAGAAAAAAGAAACGAGGTAGATTCGATTGAGAAATAGAATTTACAATGACGAAATATTAAAAATCCCAAATGATTCCTAAACGCTATTTTTTATCTATTTTAGCATCATGTTCCTAACCGTCTACCATTCCGGATCGACAATAATAAAAGACGAAAAAAAAAAGAAAAAGAAATCTCTTGAGAAAGATAATCATTAATTGTTTAACTGTAAACAAGAAACAAAAAACGTAGGACGAGAAAAATGACCCCATGAGACAACAACCTATTCGGAACAAATATTCATTCTCATCATTAGAAAAATAAAACGATGACAATGAGGTCACTTCATCAGACTATTATTAAGTGGCAATAAGAGTAAGAAAAACACACACACAAATATGCTATTGGTATCTATATGAGTTTAGTAAGTAAAAGAATCTATCATTTACTATCGAGCAAGAAAACAAACGTAAATCATATTAGTACCATCAATCTCATATTTACTGTCGAATGTCAACAGATATCAAATTATCTTAGATTTTATTCTTTTGTATCATCACATATATGTAAGTTTTATTTATCTTTATTAACCAACTAACATTTTTTAAACTTACTTTTTTTTTATTTTTAATTCAACTTATATTTATATCATTTTTTAGATTTTTTGTTTTTCTGTATTATTAGATTTATCTTATATTGAATTTTGGCGGTTTGTTTTTTCATATGTTATTTTATTCAAGATATATATATATATATATGTCAACTAATCTTTTCAAAATTCTACCTAATTTTATTTTTAACAAAAACAAAAAAAGTTTATTAAATGAATAGTCTAAAACATATTTCATAATAAAATTTAATTTAAAATTCTATTCATTGATAGTTAGATTTGTTTCGAACAATTTTATTTATTTAAAGAATTTTTTATTCAATGAATAAATAAAACGGAAAAGAAATTTTTTTTCTTGTTGTTTTTTTTTTCCTTTTTTCATCAATGAATGCGGTACAGACAGTCACGCCATTAGATCATTTTTTCTTCTTAATCAATGAACAAAAAAATACTCATAGGTCCTTAGTGTGTGTTTTTTTTAATTTATTTCTAACATATATCTATTGGAAAACATCGATTTCTTAAGTGTCATGTTTGGTTAAAAGTAATATAGAGGTGAGATTGAAGAGAAATAGTATGTTGTATTATTTTCTCAAGAGACAAAACAAGTGCACGCATACTTCTATATTATTAATGAAAAACTCTACAATATTCATATGACTATTCGCGTTTTTCTTACGTGTCTTTATTATTCATATGAAGAGAAACATATTTAAGTTAAATTATGCAAGATAAATATATCATATATGTATTGTTGTTTGACTTTTTTCTTTTTTGGAAGAGATATTAAATCAACGACAAATTTTTCTTTTCTTTTTTTTTATTCAGAACTAATAAATATGGGTAATAAAGTGCAAAAATCATCATTTGATCAAAAACTTGTGGATAAATTAATGGAAGAAACAGGTTTAGAACGTGAAGTTATTATAGCATGGAGGTAATTTAATTGATTAAATAAAAAATAATTAGAAAATAAAATTTTATTTATTTATTAATAGAAAACAATTTTTAATGGCATGTCCATCGGGTAAAATGGGTCGAAAAGATTTTTATAAATTTTATCGTTCATTACGTGTTGAATCTGATGATAAAGTTAAAGAAATAGCTAATTTTGTTTTTACAGCATTTGATCGAGATTCAAATGGAAAAATTGATTTTAATGAATTTCTTTGTAAGTTAAAAAATATTGAAATAAATAAAACGAAAAATGTTTTTTTTGATAAAAAAAAAGGTGGTTATGCAATAACATCATTAGGTACAATGCGTCAAAAACTTGATTATGTTTTTTCAATATATGATAAAGATAAAAATAATTCAATTGATAGAAAAGAAATGATTGGTGTTATATCGGCAATGTATGATTTATTAGGAAAATCAAAAGAAGATTATTCACCAGAACGATGTGTTGAAGATATTTTTTCATTAATTGATGTTAATAAAGATCGATCATTAACTAAAGATGAATTTATTGACGGTGTTATGAAAAATCCTTATCTTTCCGATATTATTTCACCATTTAATGAATAAACTAATTATTATTCTATGTCATATATATTATATATATATATATACCTATGTCTATAATGCTGTCTATTTCTTTTCTTGTTTTTTTTGAACGGTGCTCATATATAAACCTATTGAATTTTGATGTATGTATTTGTCCTTATTTGTGTGTAAATATAAATGGTATGTAAGAATTTAGCTATTCGAATATTTCTCAAGAGACATTTTAAATCAAATGACATTGATCAAAATTTATATGGAAAATTCGTTGAGAAAGAATTAATTGTAAGTATAAACAAGAAAAAAAAATGAATTCTTCGATTAATCATAATTATTCAGATAATTTACATATTCAATATTTCAATATTTATTATTGAATCATAATCTCAAATAATTCTATTAAATCATCATGAACTTTTTTTTTAAGTAGAACACTTACATTTTTAATAAAAAAAAAGAAAAAGTCTTGAAGTATTATTTCTAACAAAGTTCACTTTTTTCTTTTTTTATAACAACAAGATTAATAATCATTTCAAGATTTTTATATTATTTATGCCGTTTAAAATTAAATCAAAACAATTTATATTGATTACTTTTTTTTCTCATATAGAAAAAAAAAAAATGATTTCTACACAAGTTTTAAATAACTATTTTCAATTCTATATCAAAAAAATAAATGATAAAGAAATTCATATTTTGATTTTTAAATATTTAAATTAAATCTTTATCTAAAGATAGTTTAAATTTAAATTATATTTCGAATAATATATTTATTTGAATTCTACGAAATAGATTAGCAAATTTGTATAGAATTTTCTATATTATTTTATTTAATAGTTAAATAATTCAACAGACTTAAGTATTGTAAATATTAAAAAAACCTTTATATATATTTCTAACTCATCAATCTACTAAAGCAACTTATATTAATTAATATAAATGAAGTCTATCATAGAAAATTGATACATATTTATTTTCGAATGTCAATCTTATACAAAAATATACATAAGAAAAAAATCTTTGTAAAAAGATCCTATACAACACAGAGGAGACAATGTGCAAAAATAACAATAATAAGAAGAAAAAAAATCCTTTTTTTGACTTGTCAATCAACAAACAACTATAAAGTAACGACTCGTTTTTCTTTTTATCTGATATATTCTACGAAGTATCATTACCAATTGTCACCATACCATTATACTATTAAAGCGCAATTGCTTATGTATCTTAAGTGTTTTCTTTTTTTTCGTCGCTTATGTACTCAACCAATTCTTACTCATTGATATGTTTCTTGAAAGAAAATATACGAGATTTTATCAAATATTTATACATTTACAGAACAATTACACATATCATTGAGAAGATTTTCATTTATTTAATCTTTGATGAAAACAAAAAAAATCTATGCTGAGAACATATTACTTATTCAATTTTGGGGAAAATACATCTTACAGAATAAGAATATATATATAGATATATATATTAATAGCCCGACTTAGTAAAAAAAAGAAAGGCAAACAACTATAAGAATATCATTGCAAATATACGATAAAGTGCAACAAGTCGAAAACTTTATATTATTTGTTAATCTATTACAGACATAACACGTAATAAACTACATACTACGTTTTAAGTTTTAATGATTTATCAATTCAATTATTATTTTATTTTATTAAAATCTAATCCATCAAGATAACTAGAACTAAATTAACTATTATATTGAAACTTTTCTTTTTTAAAATTCGACAATAATAATAATAAAGACAAATGTCTTCTAATCATCAATATATTTACTCTTGAAGAATATCAATTCATTCTTGATGACAATCAGAAATTTTCATTAATAGTTAGATTTTTATCAAATGTATCTATCAATATATATTTATTCTTAGAATAATCAATCTCGATCTAATAATCATCAAATAAACCATCTTTTGTTTTCTATGAAATGATTCAAAAACAAAAAAAAAAAATTGTCATTTATAATCGAATGCTGATATGCGTCTAATTCCTTCTCTCTCTTCATCGAGAAATATCTAATTTAACATGGACTTTTCTATCTACCATTTCTTAGACGTTCTTTATGGATGATTAAATATCATAGTATGTTGATATAAATACCCTGATCATCTTTTTGATTTCACTTATTGAAGTTTACCATTCAAAAAAAATAAATAAATAAAAGCTCCTCAACCATATAATAAAATCCGAATATCCTACTCTATTTGATTAAAAATCTAAAAACATTTCTATTAAATGAAAATAATATAAAATGAATTTCAGAGGAAAGAAAAAAAAAGCTATTCATATTAAAATTAAAATATATTTCAGTATGATTTTCATATGTATATAGTTTTGTTTTATATTCTCAAACGTGCATTGGAAATGATTTTGTAAGTAGTTGAAGACAAATAGTATGAATGCAAAAAAAAAAGAAAAATGATGCTAACAAATGTCGGTTGTTTAGTATGTTTAATAGATTGAGTTAATTCTTAATGATTATTTGAGATAAAACAGAAGAAAGAATTCGATTATAGTTTAGTGTTTGTTTTTTAGTATGTTACTTTTATTTTCAAATTAAGTTCAGACATAAAACCAATCTATTAATCGATATAACAGTTGTGTCTGTCGGGATGATTATTAGTTTTGTTCTTTGTAGAAATATTGACTAGACAATCGATATTCGAACTCGGTCAATTCAATAGAAATTATTCGATGTTCATATCTATTCTTATGATTTAACTATGTTTTCTTTTTTCATATTCGAACATCATTGACCATTATTTTAGTTTTTTTCTTTTCTTTTCTAATTATCTTCATTTTGTTTAAAGTATTCAAAAACAAAAAAAAAATTGAAGATGACAATCTATATTCAATAAATTAATATGAGATTGATATTATTTATTTAAATAAATAGTTCAGTATAAATTGATAATAAAAATATAGAAAAAAGATCAAGCATATATGAGTAATTAGCCATTCAATAGATGCATTCTTTTTTCTTTTGCTCTTATTCTCACTAATAATCTTAACATGAACTCGTTATCATTCAAGTGTCTAATCAATGCTCGAGGCAACTGTCAAACATAGAATTGAGAATCACTCCTTATTATTATTTGACTAAATTAGAAAATGAGTATTTCAACATCTCTATGATATGATTAATCAAAAAAAAATATCATATAGCATTTTATCAAAAAGAATGCAATTATAGGAAATAATAAAAAACTAATCGTGTTATATATTTTTGAACCGTTTTTTTTTCTTGTCTTATAAGACGAAATATATGTTCAATTGATATTAAGAAGAAAAAATATTCGTTTTTTTTTGGTTTTCTTATTCATTGAATAGTAAGTAGATATATTAAGAAATGATTGCATGAGTAAAAAAAAAAAAGGTCAATATGAATATATATTTAATAGAAGAAAATGCTTACATAATCATTGATTTTCAAGGATTAATATCTATTTAAAGTATTATTCATTAGATTTTGATTTAGCCAATTACATTTTGCTTGTCAAGTTATTCAATAGATATAAAAAAAGAAAACGGGTTACCTATTATCATATCATGTCATATTTTAGTAATGATATATTAACTTCATGTATTATCATTCGAATTCATCTATTTACAATTCATTATTTGAACGAACGTCTAATTAATATAGACTACCAAAATGAATAAGCTAATTATATGATTAAATGTCTGCTTCCATTACTCTCTTATGACCTTTTAGAAAATACATTCAATGAAGAAACAAGTCAATTTTCCCTTTTTTTTTTCTTTTGTAAATGTATTTGTGTCAGATGAACGGTTCATCGTTAATGTATCAGAAGGCAACTCTATTTTTTTTTTTTCATAAAGTATAGGTACAGATGAATGATTGTTCTTCTTCATTAGTCTGTGTCTCAATAAAATAGCTTTTTTTTTTTTTTTTGTAATGTTTGTATATGCACGTGCCAACATCTAGATTAACTGTCAATGATCGATGAGAAATGGGTGGAGAAGAATATTTAATTGGAAAATAATAACTAATCACAATGAGACACTTTCATTCATATGTTATATATCATCATATTTAACCTTTAAACAAATGAACAAGACAAATGTCTTACCTTCGATACATATGTATATACACCCACAGGCTTTAATAGAAGTATTATTAACGTTACTTTCTTCTTAAAGAATTCGCTTCCAGACAATCTATTATATTGATTAATATATATATATATATATATAAGAAAAGCTGTTCTAGCTTTATCATAATATATAATTCTTTTTAGATGTTTGATTATAGATAATAATAAAACAAATGATAAAACGTTGTCTATTGACAACAATAGTTTTAATGGTATTGTATATAATAATGACAAATAGTATAAATGACGAATCATTTATACCTCGAGATAATATAAATATTAATGTGGGTAAAAAAGTAAGAATGGAATGTGAATTAAATAATTTAACAATAAATGAAAATCGAAAGGTAAAATTAATTTTTATTTATTATATTTTATAAATAATAATAATAAATAAATATTTAAAGATTTTATGGTTACGTATTGAAGATGCTGAAATTGTTTATTATTCTAATAATCGTATTATATCTGATGAACGTTTTTATATTGAAAAACGAATAATATTTAATATGATAAATAATACATCATCATATAATATAATAATATATTCATTGATTATTGAAGATTTACGTTTATCTGATAGTGGAACATATTCATGTCAAATTGATAATAATATTATTAAATTATTTTCATTAAATATTGTTGGTAAGAAAATTAATTTTATATGAATTAATTTTTTCGTTTGTTTTTTTTAATTAAAGAACGACCTTATTTTATAATACATGAATATTCAACTATAATACGAACATATATTGGAGAAAATATTTCAATTATTTGTCAAGCAAAAGGAAAACCAAAACCATTTATTTATTGGATTAAAAGAATAGATGGTTAGTATTTTATTTTATTTTTTTTTTTTTCTAAGAATTTTTATTTTTTAAGAAAATAATCAAATAATTTTAAAGAATTGTTCAATAACATCAAATATATGTCAATTAAATTTTTTTAATATTAATTATTATTATAATGGAATATATGAATGTTTAGCTAAGAATTTTCTTGGAACAATTGGACGATTTTATCAAATTGATGTACAATGTAAGTTTTCTTATAAATAAATAAATATAAATAAATATTTATTTAATGAATTAGTTCCACCAAATGTTTCAATATTAACAAATAAAACTTCTTATTTTATTGGTGATAAACTTATATTAGAATGTTTAATTGATGCTAATCCAAAAGCAGATATACGTTGGTTATATAAATCTTCTTATGATATTGATCATGATAAAGATTTATCTCAATTATTTTATCGAGAATATTTTGATCATAACCATTTTACAATAGATAATGATATTTGGTACATTAAACAAGAACAATTAAATGCAACCAGATGGAAAACAACTCTTTTTATTAAAGTAAATGCTTCATTTATTATCTTTCAAATTCTCTTCTTCTTTTTTTCCCCTACCTTTCTTATGTAACACTATCTAAAATAGACTTCCCTATCAAAAGAACAACGATTAAACTAATCATTTTATATTCAAATAGTTAACTTGATCAACTAAATATTAATTTTTGATTAATATAATTCGAATTTTTAATGAAAAAAAACACATTAAAACTTAAATAATTAAATTGTTAATATAGTTTTGTTCTAATTCAAAACAAATATCAATTATAGAATATACCTTATACAAAATCATTCATATATATATATATGACGCAATCTATTTTATAGACATTATATCCCATATGAAAAATAATATATCATAAAAATAATTCTCTCAGCAAATATAAGGGTCCCTCCCTCGCCTCAAAAAAAGTCACTTTTCGTCAAAATTAACATAGAGAACGATAGCCCGATAAAAATTTTTGAAGGGTTCCTTCATCCTCTATTCGAAAAACAAGCTGTTTTTGATTTTTCTCATTTTATAAATTCCCGATCGCATCTCCAAGATTTCTCAAAGGAGCTTCATTTTAGCCAATAGTTTTTTTTTTGTTATTTGAAAGAGCATGTAAAACTACAGTGCCTATGAGAATCAGTTTTCTTTTTTTTTTTATTAAGCTTTGCTTTTATATAATTCGAGTGTTAGTTTTGAAAAAGTTTTTTAAGTCATTGAACTTTTGATCTCTTAAAAAGTAAGAGTTTAAAAAAAGAGCTTTCATAAGTACTGAATTCTGATATGCTCTTTCAAACAAACAAAAAAAAATATTAAATGTATAGACTGAAGAGCACTGGAGACAAAATTAGCTATTTTTTGACCCTTGTTTGGCCGATATTTCCGTCAAATTTCATGGTACAGGGCTGAAAATTTCATGCCATTCAAACATTTCTAGTCTGCCGAGGGAACCACCTGGGGTGTCAAAAAGCTTTTGAGCTGAAATTTTGCCCACAAGTAGAGGATGCATAGACTAGAAAAAGCCTAAAAGGATATGGGCCCAAGTTGGGATTTGACTGATATATCGACTATTTACCATAATTTTTCTATAGGACCCTACTTATCCGATAAAATCAAAGTTTTGAATTTAGGCCTGAAACTTTGTCCACATCAAGGCTCCAATCAGACAAGCTCGTCTACAAAGTTTCAGAACTCTTGGATAGACTATCTTCGAGATATGAATCTGCCAAAATATCTATGTGAAACATTATATCCATAAAAAAGCGTCTTTATACTAACATACTAGTATCTCGAAGAGAGTCTATCCCAGAGTTCTGAAACTTTGTAGACAGGCTTGTCTGATTGGGGCCTTGGTGTGGACAAAGTTTCAGGCCTAAATTCAAAACTTTGATTTTATTTATTTTTTTGTTAAGCATATTCCAAGACGTTTATTTAATTCAAAAATCATATGTCGTGCAATAAATCATCATGGTGAAAATGAACAAATAATAAAAATAATTGAAAAATATCATTCATCAAATATTGATCGTCATCAAATATTAACAACACCAATTATTTCTACATCAACTTTAATTTTTAATACAAATCAAATATCATTATCAAATCGTACACGTATTATTTTATTTAAATTATTTTTTCAATAAAAAAAAAATATTATTTTTATTTATTTAGAAATTATATTTGAAAAAACAAATTATATTAATAATCAATCAATCAAAAAAAAAAATTCAATTTATTTATATTATTTATTTATTTCATTATTATTAGTATTTTATCTATAATAAATTAATAATAACAACATATTGTTATATTTTATTATTTATCCGTCCGCAATTTATTAAATAAAATAATCAATATAATAATTCTTCTTTTTCTTTTTTTTTTATTAGAATTTCTTGATTAATAACATAAAACAAAAAAAAAGACAACAGACCTTTTGTTCTTTTGACAATTAATTATTAAATAAACAAATTAAGAAGAACAATATTGAAAATGCTCATTTAAAGAGAAAAAAAAAAGTCAGACTATTTATTCATCTGATGATGATTTTAATTCAGATATAATTCTATCATAATGTTCATTAAAAACCATTTTATTGTAAGTTATTAAACGAAGAAAAAAACTAACTGTTGATATAACTTCATCCATAACAATATTCAATCCATTTGGTATTGCTACATTTGATAATGATCGATTTATTGATGGATTATCCATTACATTATGAACAAAATCTACATAACGTTGAACTAAATAGAATAGAAATAAATAAAATAACGCGGCGCCCTCCAAAATCGAGTTCTCCCCCCCCCCCCCCCGAAACTTGTAATAATCTTGTCGAATTCTAATGAAAAAAGCGAAAAAAAAAATTTTTTTAATACTTACAAAGTAATTTAAAAACAGCATGTTCAATAACATGATGTTCACCAATAGCTTTAATTGAATCTTTAATATTTATTTCATTATTAATAATTATATTTGCTTTATCATATTTAATTAATTCATCATGAGTTGTTTTAATAACTTGTTCACTTATTGATATTAATACATCTTTTAATTTTCTAGAAATATATATATATTAAAATCTCAAATATATTTAAAAAAAAAAAACGGCAAACTTTTTTTCTGGAAAATCATCTAATAAAATAATAATTTGTGATTTAAGAAGATTTTTAATTGATTGATAATCACGTAAAATTGAACCTGTTATATGTGATAATACAATCATTATTGTTGATATAATTAATAAACGCATTGTTGATATATGTACTTGATTATAACGTATTTCATCTAATTCTAATGTCTATTCAAAAAATAAAATAAAAATAATAATCAGAAAATCAAACAAACGAACTTCAGGAAATGAATTTTTTGGATTCCATAATAAAAGTTCACAATATGCTTCATTAAGAATAATAATTGAACTTTCAGATTGATTTGTATTTGTTGTTATTTGATACCAACCAATTGTATTATTTGTTTTTAATCGATTATAAGCACGTTCAAGCCATTTATATGTTGATGCTAATGGATCAATACCCATTTCTAATATTAAAATTCTTTTATTTATTTATAATCAAACACAAAAAAAAAACAAACCTCGTTGACTTTCCATAAGTTTCTTAAATGTTGTTTTTTCATAATCAATTGCTTGTTGTTGTAATAAAGGTCGATATTGTCGAATATTAAAATTAGCCATATCAATTTTCATTAAACTTAATACTTCCATTATATTTCTATGCCAAAAAAAAAAAATAAGAATATTTTTGGTTTTAAATTAAAATAAAAACCTAAAACATTCTGTTGGATCTTGAATAGTTCGTAATTTTTCAATATTTTCATCACGACATTGAGCACAAAGATTTGCCATTGTATCAATAAAATATTTTGTATATTCATGTGGATCAGCTGATTTAGTTTCAAATCGACGTTTTAATGTATCAAGATCAATTGATTCATCAATTTGATTTTTAAGTGTTATTTGATGTGGTAATACTAAATTTTTAAGATCCTTAATAAATTAACATTAAAAAAAAAAATTTGATTTTTATTTTTTAAAAATTTATAATAAAACAAACGTCTTTAGCTTCACCAATTAATTTAACAATATGTTCATAACGAGGTGGATCAGCAGATAAATCTTCTTTTAGAATATCCCAAAATGCTGTATGCATTGTATCATGAACTTTTTCACCAATACTAAATTAATTTTACTCAAATAATCTCTTTGAATATTTTTGATTTAATAGTATAACGAAAAGAAAATTTAACGGATCTCTTATGATGATAAAAAAAATTCTAACCTTCCTTTTTCATATTCAGGTAATTTAAGTTGAAAATCTTTATTAAAAACAATTTCATGTGCAAGTTGAAGATTTTGTGCATTTCTATTTGCTTCAATTAATTGATTATAATCAATAAATCTTGTAGGAGAAGCTAAATTAATACAAAATAATAATTAAAAAAACAAAACAAAAAACAAAAACCTGATATAGTTTGATCAATATTATCTTGATTATTAGGTAATGTTGAAGAAAGATTAATCCAACCAAGTACAGCTCCTAATGGTTGATTATCTTCTTGTTTTTTATCATTAGTTTTATCGGACATTATTTATTTATCTTTAATTAAATAATAAATAAGATTTTCTTTAAAAGATATCAAATGTATTTGTATTTTTTTTTGTTTTCTGTATATAATGACAACAATCAAGAGTATAAAAAGAACGAAGTGCAACGGAATGAGTATCATATAAATAATGTTCGTTTCTCTTCAATCAACAACACAAAAAGAAAAAGTCTAAAATCTGTTGTAAAATATAATGATAATCATTGCACAATATAAAAAAAAAACAGACAATGTTAAGATGATTAAAAAGCGCATAAATAAATCACTGTTTGCATAATAAAAAAAAAAACACATCGGATTTAAACTAATGCATCAAAATAAATTTAATTTACAAACAAAAAAAAAAAAAAACGAATATGTGTTAAGATATTATAGACGAACAACATTTATGTTTAATGATATTAATTTAACGTTTTTTTTTTTTTTTTTCATTATTTATTTAATGTCAATAAGAGATCATTTTCAATCTGACTTGATCTTTCTGTTTTTTTTTAATTAACATTTATTTCCTCCCGAACGTCGAGAATTATTATCATTTAATTGATTTTGTTCTAAATGACATACTTGTCGAATCCATGATGAAACATCTTGATTATCACTTTCATTTTCATATCGTTTATAAAATGGATGATGCTAAATATTTTAGAGATTTTTTTTATTAAATTTTAAAAAAAATATTTTTTTTTTTTTTCATACTAAAAGTGTATTTAAATCAGCTCGTTCTGTTGTACTTTTCTTTAAACTAAAAAAGAAATTGAAATATAACGAAAAAAAAAAACGAATATTTTTTACCAACGATCAATAAAATCACAAAATTCAGGAGAAAAATGTGTTTGAGGTAATGATGGTGGTGCTTCATTAACAATCCATTCCATTAATTCAAATATTGCTAAAACTTTATAACATCCAAATCCTAAAAATTTTTCCCAAAAAAGTTTTTCATTTTTTGTTTATTTAAAAATGAACTACCTTCTGGTCGTGGACGATTTCCATTTGGATCTTGTTTAAATAAATCATCAATATCTTTAGTTGATGGTGGTGGAATTGGATAACGACCAAGAGCCATTTCAACAAGTGAAAGACCTAATGACCATATATCACTCATTATTCCATAATGTGCACCTTCAAGTCTTTCAGGCTTTTATTTTAAACAAAAAATAAAATACCAAAATTTGAAATAATATAAAAAACTTACAGACATATAAGAACGAGTACCAATAAATGTTTGTAATGTTGAATCAATTAATTGTGCACTAACACCAAAATCACATAATTTTATTTCACCTATTTAATATTAAATTAATTAATTTTTTCTTTTCATTTTTAAAAATTAACCTTGATGATTAACAAGAATATTTGATGGTTTTATATCTAAATTAATTATTATAAACAATAACAACAACAAAAAATAATAATAAATAATACCTCTATGCATAATACGATGTCGTTCTCTTAAATAACTTAAACCACGAAGAACCTTTAAAACAATATTTATTTTTTTTTCTATTATTTTTATTTAAAAAAAAAAAACTTACAGCAACAGTTATTTTACCAAGAATATGTTCTGGAATACGCATTACTTTTTTCAATATTAAATCTAATGAACCACCATCCTGAACAAAAAGAATAAATAAATACAAAATTGACTATATTGTCTCTTCTATTTTAAAGATAATTAATCGATTTTGAAATGTAATAAAAAAAAAAACTTAATTTATATTTACCATATATTCCATACAAATATTAATTTGACCTTCAGATGCAAATGTTCCATAAAATCCGACAATATATGGTGAATTGCATTGATGAAGAACCTTTTTTGTTTTTTAAATATAATATTCAATTTTTCAATTTTATAAAAAAAATTTACTTTAAGTTCTCGAACAATTTGATTTTTAACTGCTGGTTTTACTTCCAAATAAATACTCTAATAAAATAATATATATATTAAAATTTTGTTTATTTAAATTCGAAATTAAACAAAAATTAAAATGTCTAATGAATGATTTGGAATATATATATGGGTCTTTTTTTTTTTTCGTTGAGCCATGCAACAAATCTACCTTTGTTGGTGAAATAGAATTCCAAAACCAATGACACCAATTGCACCAATGATAATCAGTATTCATATATGAACAATACTAAATATTAAGCATTCGAGCGATACACAAGCAACAATTATACAAAAAAAAAAGAAGCAAAGCAAAACAAAGCAAACATAAATATTGATCATTAAATAATAATTTTTATTTTATTATTTATACACATTCGATTTAATATCCAAAAAAAAACATTGATGGTACTTGTTCACTTTCGACATATGCTCTCACTCGCACTCTTTGATGTGTGAGCGTTAAATACGCGGATTAGTGTATGGAATATGTTTAAAGTGAACAAGCACCAAAAACAAAATTAAATGATTTATTATCGTTACTAATTTAGAAAAAGTTAATTTTGTTAATATAGTAACAAACCTTTCTAGCCATTATTTTATCAGTTGGTTTATGACGAACTTTCCAAACAATTCCACCATTTCCTTGACCTAATTCACATATATTAAGAAGATCATCATGTTTTAATTCTCCAATAGCACGTTTTGAATTAAAAAATTCTTCCATTCGATCTTTTTGTTTATCAGTGCAATCAAGTTGTTTAAATTCTTCTTCTAAACGTTCAATACATACATCTGGAATACTAAAAATTCAAATAAAATAAAATAAATTATTTATTTAATTAAAATCTTATATATTCATACCCATTTTCATTATGGCTATGTTCAATTGATTCTGTTGGGACTTTTGGTATAGTTAAACCTAATCGATTTTTTCCAAATGTTGTTGATTCTCCTTTTGGCATTGCTGTTCTTTTTTTTTTTATTTCAAATGAATAAAATTATATTCTAAAGAAATAAATATATATAAATCTCACTGACAGAACAACAGATGGTTACTTCCATATATTTTTTGTTAGCAATAATAATAAAAAAGAAAACAATAAGATATGAACGCTACATTCAATGTATTTTTATTAAGAAAAATATTTATTTGAAATTAAATTAATATATCAAATCTATTTTACTTTACATAATTTTAGAAAAAAACAAAAAAAGAATTTTTTTTTTTTTTAATAAAAATTTGGTTCGTTTAATTTCCTCACCAATAAGAGAATATAAATGAAACATGATGATGATGATCAATCAAATATTTAGGTTAACGGAAGAAAAAACAACGAAGCACAACTTAAAAAAATAAGAAATTCTGTTTTCTCAGATATAAATATTTACTCAAGATAAATTTAATTGTCAATATTGATTATCAAAATGTTGAAGGGGATGTTTAGAATAGTTAATCAAATAGGAAATATAGTGTTTTTCATCATATTTATATTTGATAAGAGTAGTGTCACATATCCAAGATTTTGGAGATGCCACCACATCTCCCGTGGGAGATGCCGCGTCTCCAGCGGGAGACGCGACACCCACACTGGAGAGATGTGGTCATTCACCACTGGAGATGTAAGATCTCCTTTAGAGATGCGCATCCCCCACACCCACATCTCTCGCGCGAGATGCGGCATCTCCCGCGGGAGACATGGTAGCATCTCCAAAATCTTGGATATGTGACACTGCTGTATATTTGTTTATATTTATTCTTTATTATAAATAAAGTAACATCTTTAAGTGGGACAAAAGAGTAGACAAAATTAATTTGTCAGTATTTTGATTTATACGAGTTAGCACTAATCACTAATCGTACTTTGAAGTATGACGTATGTCAAAGTTTGAATGTGTTTCACACGCATCACGATTACAAAGGATTAAAGTTGAATAATCTTATTAGAATAGAAATATTTTAATCAAGTTTTAAATATGAAAAAAGTTCATTGAAATTAGATTTGTTTTGAACGTTTAATACGGGTATTGTTCTCTAGTATATGATTTTGTTCATTGTCAAATACTTGTATTCTCTATTCATATTCATTAGTAAGAATAAACACTGTATCCAACTTAGTATAACAATCATAAGGAAATTAAAAAAAAGAAGATTTTCATGTTCTTATTGAATACATCTAAGAAGAAATTTGTCAATAATTGAGAGAGAAACAAGCAAACAATAATATTTTATGAAATATAATGTCAAATCTTTTTTATTTCAATAAAATATTTCGTTTAATCTATAAAAAAAAAATCTGAATGAATACTCAAAAGCACTTTCTTGATTTATTCCTATAAAAATATTCGAAAAGTTTATTCTCAGATAATTGATTAAGTCAAATGTATGTTCACTTACATTAAATCATTTTCATTTTTAATTATATAAAAAGAACTAAAATTTCATACAAACAAAATTCTAAACGAATCATTATAGTTTTTTTTTTTTTTTTGTTTTCGAAAAATTCTAATAAATAAGAAAACAAATAATAGAGATTGATGAACATTTTTTTTTTATCAAACTGTTGAATATTAACAAGTTGAGTTTAACTGTTAGATTATTTCTTTGAAGATTCTTTACCTATTCGTTTACTTCAAATTGAACAGAAATCTCGATAGTAAATCAATAGAAATTTTGTACATGAGTATTAAAGATCATCGAATTCAAGAATTTTTGGAACGAAATCAAGGAAGAACCCAATAAACTCTATCATATATGTTCAAAAGTTAACTATTAATCAGTAAATATATAGTTGATTATTATTCTCATATGATTTAACAGTAATTAAACAAACAATATTAAGGGTACCCCCCCCCCCCCTCTTTTTTGACACTTTCTAGTTCTCGAAGACGGTACAACCGATCAAGCTCAAATTTTCAGCACAGATAGAGCATCAAAAATAACGAGATACGTGTTCGAGGAAAATAAATTTAAAATAGGTTTTTATGGAGTTTTTTGGAAAACTCTGGTTTTCCAGAGGTCCACATCCTGACACATTACGACCCCCCTTAAAGTTTATCCGATTGGGCTGAAATTTTGTTTATAGACGCCTAACACTATTTCCCAGAGGTAAATTTAAGGATTTCCAAAAATCTTACTTTCTTTCTTTTTTATAAGCGAAATGCGCCAAGATTTGAGTTTGCGCTTCAGATCTTGACTTTCATAATCCGGTAACTACGAGCAGAAACGTCAAAAATGAAAACGCTTGATTTTACCTCTGGGGAATACTTCGAAGCATTAGTGGTGAAATTTTCAGCTCGATCGGACAAACTAAAAAGGGAGTCGTAAGCAGTCAAGATCTAGAAAATCGCTGTTTTACAGAACACTAAGTAATAGAAAAAAATTTACATACGATTACTATGAAAAAAAAATTTTTCTCGATCTCATAACTATGTAAAAGTAAGATATTTAGAGTCGAATAATGTCTCTAGTTGCATGTGGTACTTCAGGCTATTATATCTTAGGCTCAGCTCGAAATCGAGTTTTTGGTCACCGAAGAGGGGAGGGGGGGTACCCTTAATCTATAATTATTGTTTTAACATTAATTATAAGATATTATATACCAATATAACATACTTAGTTTTTTTTTTTTTTTTATAAAGAAAAATTGACTTGCAATGAAAAACAAAACATAATTTCGATTGATAACACAGTCAAATACTGTTTTTGCTTCACTACTACAAAACAAAAAAAAACAAGAAGAATTAAAGTAAAGAGAAATAATAAAAGTTCACTACCACCGTAAAAAAGCAAAAGAAAAAAAAACAGATAACAATATAGAAAAAAAAATGAATGAATGTCATGTATATGTTCTATTAACTTATTAATAACTGTTTAACTTGTTCAATTCCAATAATAGGATCAGGTTGTATAAGTGTTCCATTAAAATGAAGTTTAATATGTTGTATTAATGTATTTGATGTTGTTGTATGATGATTAAATGAACAAAATGGACATATTTTATTATTATGATAATTAATAACATGTATTGTTAATTGTTCAAGATTATAATAATTATTTGTATTTAATGTTGGATAACATAATGGACAATTAAATATATTTTTTATTATTGAATCATTTATATCATCAATATCTTGATTATCATCTAAATCATCATCATTATCTGTATCAATATCAAATTCTTCATCATCATGTTCAAGACGACGATGAATATTTAATGTATCTAAACAATCACATTGATATGAACATAAACGACATTGATATTGTTCAATTATATTTGCATTTAATAATTTCGATGCTTTTTCAAATTTATAATTAATATGACTAGTTGGATGATTTATTTTCATATGTTCTATCATTGTTTTATCTGATAATGTTGTATAAGAACAAAGAGGACAAATAATACCTTGACCATTAATATGTATTAATATATGATGTTGAACTAATGATATATTTGAATGTTTATAAGGACATACTGAACATAAATAATTAACTATGGAATTTTCATTATAGATTTGTTCATTAATATTTTCTTGTTCTTTTTGTTTAATATTTGTTTGATTAGTTATAATATTAATTGATGATTTAAGTGAAAGATCTAATGGTGCATTATCATCATTATTATTTGAAGGTGATTTTGTTAATAATAAACGAGAAACAATATTTGATGAATTTGTTATTTGTTTTAACTATAAGAAATATTAAATTTAATTATTTGATAATATATGATTTTTCTTTTTTTTTATAAATATTATAGAAAAATATCTATTCTAGAAAATGATCAACTCTGACAAATAGTTCCATACTCGAAAAAAAGGATATCTATGCGTTGATCATGGATAGTTATTAAACAATAGATTTTCTTCAAAACTACTATTGAAAAAAGAAAAGAAAAATAATTGGTATTAGTTCTTGTTGAAAATCGTTTGTAAGAGACGAAAAAAATCTGATCCAAAAAAACAAAAAAAAATATTGTCTAAAAACGTAACTAATAATTGTAATTATTCTATTAAATAAATGTCCTACATCATCTGTTTGTAATGTTGATGATTGATTGAGGTTTATATGTGTTTGTGATTGTTGATGTGAATCATTTTTAAGATCAATTTTATTTGAATGTTTTATATCATTATTATTTGATGATGATTTTATTACAGTTGTTGTTGTTGATATTGATTTTTTAGAATTTTTATTATCATTTGATGATTGTCTACTATTTTCATTTATCTTATTTAAATACAAAAAAAAATTAATATAATTATAATAAAAAAGTTGAAAAAAAAAACTATACTTGATTTAAATATTGAAGTGAACCATCTTTTGGTGTAAATTCTTGTTCAGCTTGAGCCCAATCATTCCATGTACGAAATGTTCGTCGACGTAATTCTTTTCCAAATGTATTTTCATATGATTCAATTGTTGAACGTGCTTCTTGTTCAGTCATCATAATCATATCTATTTTATTAATTAAATATTTTTTACTTTTCGATCATTAATTAATAAAACAAAAACAAAAAAACTTTCGAGAGTTTTTTAATTTTTGATAAAGAATCTAATTAAAAAATATGAAAAGAATAATATGTTGACTTTTTTTTTTTCTATTACTTATATATGAAGAAGATTTTTTTTTTTTGAAATTTGAAGATATAGATTCAAATTTTGGATAAACTCTAAAAGTGATAAAGATTTTCAGATCGAGACATAATTAGATTATCGTAATTATTAACAACAAGATTGAGAGCTGCGAATTTCACCATTCGAAAGAGTGATGTCCAAGTCATCAATCAGTAGAGAACTTATTAAAATGAAAGATCCTTTTTGTGTACTCAAAAAGTGAGTACACTATAGAATCGGTCAGTGTGTCCGTCCGTCCGGCCGTTTACACGATAACTTTCGAAAGGAGAGTCAGATCGTGATGAAATTTTCTACACAGTTCAGTCTCAGTCGAGTTCGAAGATGAGAAGAATCCATCAAGAAATGGCTGAGTTATCGAAAAAATTGTCATTATTGACCAGACCATCCCTGAGGGAGGGTACAGGGATTTTTCAAAAAAAAAAAATTTTTCTCAGAATTATTCACAACATATATAAATCGACTCAGTTTTGAACGCTGATTCCGAATCTGATATTAGTTTTGAACTAAATCGTAGCTTTCTAACAAAACATCGCCTGAAAAAGGTCTCAAAATGCACAAAAACTGTATCCAGAAAGCAAATTGCCTAGATATCTCTCAGATGATAAAAAACAAAGTGAATATACCTGTTCACTTTTTGAAGTACACATAACACTCGGATATAAATCCGAGGTTTTCGCATTTTATTTATAGGTATCTTTGAATTAACATTTTTACAATAATCTCAACTCAAATCATCATTTTTGTCTCTATAAGATTAACACCTGTTTTCGTAAAATCCGCATAGAATAAAAGATTGAAAGATCATGAAATATGTAATAATTTTATAACGAAAAACAGTCTGATGTGAGCAAGATTTTGACATAATTTTAGTTGAGATTATTGTGAAAATATTCGCAGGAAAGAATGTTGATCCAAAGATACCTCGAAAAAGAAAAGGATCTTTCGTCTTAATGAGTTCTATATCGATTGATGGATCAGACAACGCTCTTTCGAATGGTGAAAAGCACAGCTTTCGATCTCATTCCTATAAAGAGTTATTCGAAAAATGATAACCTGCTTTTTATTTCGAAAATGGATAAGAGTATGATTTTTTTTCAAAAAGAAGAAGAATATAAGATTCTATTCGATTTATTCTCAATAAAATTGAATATATTATCTATTTACTAATAATTTAAATATAATATAAAATTACCTCTATTATGATCGGGTTCAGTTAAATTATGTCTTATTCTAACATGTCTAATCATATCAGTTTTCCAATTTGAACGATAAAAACAATGTCGACATTTTAAACGTTTAATACCAAATTTTGGTTGTACAGCATAAAGTGTTGAATTTAATTTTGAACCTTGTAATGAAAGTAATGCTTCTTCAACAGCTGGTGAAAATTTTGCTTTAACTAAATCATTTATTGGTGAATATGATCGATTTAAATTATGATTATTATTATTATGTTTAGATTTTTTAATTGAATTATCATTAAATGATAATTTTTTTTGTTGATATTCATTTAATATAAAAGCATTTGATTGTTCTTTATGTTTATCATTAATATGTATTTGAATATGTGATGATATATTTGATTGATAATCACATAATGAACATTTATATATATATTCATTTATTTCATTTTTATTATTTAATATTGATGATGATTGTATAAAATCATCTTCAATATCTTCATGATTACATGAACTTGTTATTGATGATGATTCTGAATCATTATTATTATTATTATTATAGATTTTATTTGAACAATCATCTTTATTTAAAACAAAAATCAATAAATATATTTATTTAAATAAAAAACAAACTTTGATATGAATATGATTGATGATTAATTGGTTTTCCATCTGGTTGTATATCAAGTACAGATGCTGTTTGTAATGTATGAAAATGTTTAATATGCTAAAAATAAATAAATAAATAAAACATTAGTTATTTAATAATATTAAATCATACACGAATAACAACCCAACTATGTTTCGATTGTAATGGACATAATGAACAACGAAAACGTTTTAATGGTGATGTTATTTTTTGTAATTTAATTGATAATTCAGCTGGTAATTCAATAACATGAACATTAGATTGTTCAGGATGTTTAGCACGTATATGTCTTTCAACAACCCATTTATATGTACCTTGTTGATGACATGAACTACATTGAAATACTCGAACTGGTGCAAAATTTGATAATATTGGTAATGATGATGATGATGATGATTGTTGTTGTAAAGATGTTTTATCAGATTTTTTAATTGATTTTATTTTATTATTTAAATTTTTATATTGATTATAATCATCATTATCATAAATATTTATATTTGAAGTTTGATTTTGTTGTTCATTTTCTTGTCGAATTATTTTAACTACTTTTGATTCAGCATTTGGATGTTTACGTGCTTGATGTTTTCTTTTAAAATAAAAAAAAAACAAAAAACAATAACTTCTATTTATTAATTAATTATATATGTTTATATTTACCGAACATCTCCTCCATAATTTGATGTATAATCACAATATGGACAACCAAAATAACGTATAGGTTCATCTGTTTCACGTGTTATATTTGTATTTATATTAGAATTATGTCGAGATGAAGAATTTCCAAGTAATTGTGTTGTCATTGATTCATCACCATCATTTGTATCAAATAAAAATCTTTGAATATAATCATTTGAATTAATACTATAACGATGATGTTTACGACGTATATGAAATGAACAATCACCTAAAATATAATTTATTAAAATTATTCAATAAAATAAGAATTTTTTTGTATAAATAATGTATTAAATTTACCTCGATATTTATATAAACGATTACATAATAAACATCGATAATTTTTATCTCGTATATGAGCAATAATATGTGTTTTAAATAGTTCAATATCAGTTGTTTTATAATCACAATATGGACAATCAGTTGTTGTTGTTGTTGTATTTGATTGAGATATTGATGTTGATGGTAAAGTATCATCATCTAAAAAGAACAAAAATTCAATATTTTATATTAATATAAATAATAAAAATTAACTTAGTTGTTTATTTGAATGATTAATATCAATTTGTTGATTTGAATTATTTAATTGAATATTTGATTTTGTTAATAAAGAAAATGTTTCAGAATAAATTGAATTAGATAAATCAATATGATGTTTTCGTTTAACATGTCGTGATAAATGACCAAGACGATTATAAGTTGAACTACATATTGGACATGTTAATATTCCATTTGAATATATTTCTTTTTTATTTAATGATGAATCTCGTTCATCATCATTATCATCATCTGTTTCATTACTTTCATCACTACTATTTATATATAAACTAGTTGATATTGGTGATGATGTTCGTTTAACTCGTTTAACAATTGATAATTGTTCTAATTAATAATAATAATAATAATAAATATAATAAATAAATAAGAAAATAATTTATTTTACCTATTATTTGTTTTCTATCATCATATAGAGATTCCGACTAAATTATATTGAAAATAATTTAAAAAAAACAAATTTTATTAATCATATATAACCTGTTCATCATCAGGTGCTTCACGTTTATTAGCCTTGATTATATTGTTCAATGATGATGATTCTACTTGTGGTGTATCTTGACAGCCATGTCCATGTTCACCTACATTTATATATATATATATATATACATAAAGAAAAAGAGCATATCAAGGTAATATTTATTTAATACTTGTCAAATGATTTTCGAGTGCTTGAAGATTATCCGAATTGAATGGACAATAGATACAAATATAAGCAGTCGAAGCATCGTCACTCATCACCGGTCCTTTAATAAAATTAAATAATAAGAGTTAAAGAAGAAAAAAAAAAAGTCGATTATATAAAGTAAATGTATTGATAAAAAATGATACAAAATCATGCATACATATATATATATATGCATATGTCAAGTTCGATTGATAATCACTCTATGAATATTTCTTTTCTGATCTATTTTTCGATAGATATTTCATATGATTTCTTTTCGTCGTCCCTTTCCTATCTGACAACAACAAACAACAACAACAACAACAACAACATCGTCGCCTTGTTTGATGACAGGTATGTCGTATAGGTAAGAGCTTGCAAAAAAGCTTTGGAGAAAGAGAGACGAAAAAAAACGAAAAAGAATAGAAATAAATCATTCATCAAATACGAAATTTTCTTCGACTGATCATCGATCAATCGATGATAGGTGGTTGTAACTGTAGTCAATATTGAGAAATATATCATAAATTAAAAAGAAAAAGCCTTTTCTTTTTTTTTTTTTGTGATCATTATCTCATGTTGATTTTTCACTAGTTTCTCTTCCCCTACCTGATCAGTTATCATCAATGCATTACAATCATCGAACTCAATATATATATATTTTTTGTATTTAGAATTTATTAATATCTGAAAATTATAAGAAAAAAAAAAAGAACGATCCCTTCATACATATATATATATAAACCAACTTATTTCTAAACAATACCCAACTATTATTTTAATGAAAAAACTTGCTAAAATTTATGATAAATCTATCTATGCTTCGATAATAATAATAGGCACGTATAGATAAGCAAGAGAGAAAAAAAAGCCAAAAAAAAAAAAAAATCTTTTTTTTACATCTTCGTTTTTTCTGGACTCCTATAACAAGAAAGAAAACGATGTAAGCGCAATATTCTTCTCTTCTTCTTCTTCATTATACACATTCAATACTCAATTTCTTTGCTTCTTTCGTGTTCTCTCTGTCTCTCTCTATTCGTCTTCTTTCGACGTACATATACATCTACATGTAATATTGGTGTGATTATAGAACATGTCAGGCAGAGAACAGGGAAGAAGAAGAAGAAAGGATGCGCTCGTCTATAGCACATATGATGCGCTTGTATGCGCGCAGTTTTTTGTGAAAAAGGGGGGAGAGAGAGAGCAAATCGAAGGCAAAACGACGAAGGCCAAAGACGCGTATAGATACATATTGTATGATTTACTTGTCTTAGTGATCTTCGAATTGTGATCTTCTTTTTCTATAATATATTTATGTATAAATATATTCAATAAGGAAGAAAAAGGTGTGATATAAAAAGTAGCATTTATTTTCCATGTATTGCATCAAAAGCACGAACAGTAAAAGAAATCGATTTCTCACATTTACATGTCTATTTAACATATTTGACTTTTACCTATATATATATATATACATGAAGGAAGATATACAAATATTCATACATATGTCTATAACTTTTTCTTATCGAGTAAAAAAACAAAACTAATAAATATTAAAATTTTTTAAATCATGAGATATTTTACAATTGGTTAAAACAAAGATCTATGTTCAATATAATAAGCAAAACTTTTTCAATACCTTTTTTAATTGATTGATATCATAAGAATTTTATTTTAGTTTTGTTAAGGAATTAAATAAAAATCATATATATATATATATATCGATGTGGATGTAAAAGAGGCCAACAAAAAAAAATAACATACAAGAAAAGGTTTAGATTTTTAGTTTTTTTTTTCTTCGTCTTTGTTGTTTTAAATATAAAACTGGTAGTAATATTTGTCAGTCAATCTAGACAAAGAAGAAAGAAAAGATTTTTCTTTTTGTTTCATATGACGAGAATATATGCAGATGTATTTCGTTGAAAAAGACAATATATATATATATATATATATATACTCGAAGAGATTTAATGGTACTATAGTAAGAAAGAAAATGTGAACCGATCAAAAGAGAAATGGTTCGACAATGAAAATACAAATAAATAAATATAAAACTTTTGTCTGAAAATTGATTTTTCGAAGAATTTTCATATTCTTTTTTGATCAATTCTCAAAATATTTTATACGATTAGATTTCTCATTTTGATTTTTTATTTGAAAATATAAATAAAAAACAAAACGTTTTTTGTTCGAACGATAAAAAATAGATTTGTTTATATGAATATATAGATAAAAGCAAAAAAATCGATAAGCATAGAATAATCAGGATGAAAAAAAAAAAACGATTGACTTCAGTTTATTTAATCTAACTAATGATTTATCAGTAGAGATTTCATAGATTCAATCTTATATCAATCGCTTACATATTTGCACATAAATATATATATTTATATGCGAGTAAAAAAAAATCTACGAACGAAAACTAGATGCATCGATAGATGACTGAGAAGAATTATAATCATTTACTTAAGATTTTACTCGAAATATTGCAATATTTCTCTATATAGACACAAATAAAGAAACGAAGCAAAAAATGGAACTACTTACTGTTTATGAGAAGAAAAAAAAATGAGAGTTTTATGCTCTATCGATTTAAAAAGAGTATGGAGATCAATATAAATAAGGAAAAAGAAGTAGGTAATGACTAAGGATTAAGTTCATATGCGCACAACTGAGTTTTATATAATATTAGTCCTCATTTTCGTTTTTTTTTCTTCTCTTCTGTGCATATGCATATGTTACTAATCGACCGTCGCAAAATGTTGTATTAAATAAGCAGGGATGATGGTGGATATAATACAAAAAAAAAAAGAAACTAAAAGAATTTATCGGTCTATAACGGTGTCGAAATCGTATGAAGCTATTTTCGAAATATATTTTTACTTTTCTCTCGTTCGATTTTTTTTTTTGCTATATCAATCGACAATCCTCCGGATGAATGAGTTTCATCTAGGTTACGCATATCGACTCAGCTTGATGTGCATATGCATTTGAATATATATTCGATCACTGAATTAACAGAAACCTATAGATTTCATTTATAACTTATATACATAATCCTAACTTTTTTTTTTCCTTCTTATGTTGTATTTAAAAAATTAATCAAATAAACAACTTTTATCAACATTACTATTTATATATTATTTTATACGAATAAAAGAATATAATTATATTTATTATAAATTTCGATAAATATATTGAAAGATATATAAGACAATTGATAATTTTAAATGAATAAAGAAGAATTAGAATATAAATCAGGCTTTTTTTTTTCTTTTTCAAACGATAATTATAGTGGTTGAACATGCTTTTAAAAAAATATGATTCGGTTTTTGTTTTTTATATTGATTGTTTATTAATCGTTTAATGAATTAAATTTATCTTTATTTTATTTTAAAATAATTGAATATTTTCAGTCACATTGTCAATATTAAATAAGAAATGTTTTCTAAAAAGTGTTAATCAACAAAGAGAAAGTCAAAATTATTTCTATAATCTTATTTTACTTTCATTCGATAGTTATTGAAGTTTTATAGGATTTTATTTCATATATTATATTAATTATTATTCGAACAAATTCTTTTCAATAAGAATTTTGTTTTATATTAATTTAATATTCAATGAACATCTTATAGATATTAATCATAAAATTTCATATATTATCTATTTGATTAAAATGAAACGATTCTCGTTTGTTTTTTTTTTTTGTCATAGTGATTGTCAATATTTGTAACAAACTTAAATATATATGATCAATTTTTGTCTCTTTAAAAAATTCTAAAAGATATTTTTATTAATGATTTTAATAGATATTCACAAGTATGATGAATTTTAGTCAATTTTTTTTTCTTCAACAATTATTATAAATCTTTCAGAAAATAAACAAATTTTTATGATTACAATTAAAAGAATATCATTGAAATTCATATTATAACATATGAACATTCATTTAGAGATTTATAATTGTAACGATTGAAAAGTTGATAATTATTAGAACAATTACTATTTATTATATTAATTGAAATTTATATTTTATTCAAAAATATTTTTAAAATAGAAGTTTTGTGTTGAACTTGTCAAGGACTAATGACATTGACTATTTATAAAAAAAAATTTTCTAGAATTCTATAAAATATTTTAAATTATTTTCATAAAAAATAAATATGACAATTCTGTTTCTTAGTAAAGATAAGTATTCATTATTGAAGATGACACTACACTTATCTTCCAGAAATTTCATTCAGGATAATATAAATATGATAGACATTGTTACGAACTTGAATGAACAACAACGATCTTAGATCATCATAGTATATGATCTAGGTATTTCTCAATGAGTTCGTCGAAAAAGACATTTGTGATGGGATTAAATGTTATTGTCAAAATAAAAAATATATTGTCTTTCATAAAACTTTTATGATCATTCTATTATTTATTCAGTATAGAAAATAATAAGAATAATATGAAAACATAATTAAATGTTACTATTTCAATTGATATGATCTTTGAATTCGTTATTTGTTATAAAAATATGAATTTTTCTTTCGTTTTTCTTTTGTAATTATATCTTAAATAATTAAAAACAAAAATCTTCGAATATTTTTTTGTATTCTAAACGATGTACTTTTACCGGTCATTTTTCTTTTTCATTCGATTTATTAAAAGTTATTTTTATCGATTGACTGATGGCGAAATTTTGTCTACTTCAGATTATATTTGTTTATATACATTCGAATGTATCATTGTCGTGCACAGGGACTATAGTCATTGGATGGTTCATACAGTTTTGCAAATTATACAAAATTGTTCATGACCTTCAAATTTTTTTTCCTAAATAGCCTTCTATTGTGTTTGTCTTATTATGTATTATAATTATGATTTAGCTGACTTCGAAACACATAAGTGTATTAAATTCGATATGCTACAGTTTTCATACTGTCTGAAAACTTCGATAAGTTATAGATGAAACAAAGATTGTCTTGTATACTATTTCAGTTCTTTCTTATCATATAATCTAAGTAATTTGTTCATTAGAGAAGTTTTCTTGTTGAGACTTTCGTCTGTCATCATT